TTTGATAAATTCCCATAACTTTTTCTCTAGATAATGAATAAGTGTTTTTAGGAGAAAATTGATGTTGGTCACTCTGGAGATTAAGAAAAAGGGTTAACTTGATTATTTGAAAAATATTGTAAGAGAAATGCCTTACAATAACATTAAACACATTGCTTTACATGCTTGCTTTTGAATGATGTACAGTGAAAGGTTTTGTACAGTGAAAAGTTGGGTCTGTTAGTGTAGTTGGAACAATGTACTTGTATAAGGTGGTTAATTCTTGGCATAATACCTCTTTGGGTTTTAATTATGTTGTTGCTCAGGTGAAGTGTAATTGCAAGATCAAAACAGATGCATGCAGCTTGTTAAATATTACTATTCATTTCCATTTTCTTAGGATCCAGGTCGGGATTTTTTTAGTATTAAATTTTTTGATCACAAGTCTGGAGAATTCCTTATCAACTTAGTCCCCGCACTCAGTGGAAAATCACTAAGGTATGTCAGTCTTTTAGGAGTGTTGTTACCTTTTTAGGACATTGAATGTAACCCACTTTAACTGTAGGAGTTACTGTATGGTGTTTTATACATTGTATAATGTGTAAGAAGCAGTGCTTCATTTCTGAAGCCATGTGTTGATTGGCTTGTAAGTGATGTTTGGAACTGTTTTAAACTTAAGCTCAGGCTGACTGTGAGTTTATTGTAAGACTAAAGATAAAAAGACAGTGCTAATGCATAGACTTATGGTGTTAGTGATAATATTTAATTCTGTACAGATCAGGTTGCAATGAAAGTCAGTTTTGCAGCTTGCCCTTGGGCAAGCTTTAGCTCACATGTACCAGCCTAAGAGTTGTTTTAACTAACCCACATGAATTCATTAGGATTTTAAACAATTTGTCTGTTTTTATTACAATACTTCTGTAATATAAATTTATTTCCCCCTAAGAATTTACCGTCCTGTTGGGCAAGTCAAAAGCAGAATTCACTAGTCTGATCGCCACTAGCTGTGGGCTAATTCAACACAACTTTCTTTGCATGCTGCAAATGTAGATTGCCTCCCTGACCAATATTTCAGTCTTAATTTTCTGAAATGTTATTTTTCTCTTTCATCACAGGGATTCTATTGAGCCACTTTTTGAGTCACAGAACTTTTCATTTACAACTCATTCTGTATTTCTGGATTCCTCAAACACTCCTCTGCCACTTGCCTTTGACACCTTCCCGCTGGGTGGAAACGTTCTTCATGTGAGAGGTATGACCAACATTTTATTTCTCCCTATACTAACATTGCACAATCAAACATAAAGGTTGTGATGAAAAAGGAAATTATCCTCAAGTAAATGAGTTCTTGATTTTAAACAGATTCTAATCATCAGACCATGATAATTATTGTGTATAATTTTTATACACATCATGTCAGCTGATGATGATGACATTGTTTTTAGAGAGTCTCGAGTTCTGATAAACCCCAAACTAACTGGTTTACCAAGGGGTGAGACATTAAGTCTTTTGTTATTCCTAGACTTTCACCTCAACGGCAACAGAGAATAAAAAAACAAATCAAAACATTATCGGTCCTTTAAAGCTTTATAAGAACACAAATTTTATTCTTAAAACTGCTGAATGAACAATTCACAAAATACATGTACTTTCCTTGCATCATCTACACCTTTTTTATCCTTGGCTGCAATATTTCTTTTTGGATGAATTGAAAAATCTTCGCTCTTTACGTTGAAAGCTCCATGTTTGTATTGTCGTGTTCATTCATAAGAGTGAAAACTGGCAGTATTTTTCCCGCCTTCTGTTACACCACCTTTCAGTATGGTTTGATCATGTGCTGTTGTATCCTGAATAGGGTACAATGGCTATTATTGTATCATTGTACAATTGAGAGAAATTTGAATTTGGTCATGGCTGGTACATGACCAAAAATCAATCAACAGCAGTCCCTATTTATTTGAGCAAAAGTCTAGGAAAAAAACAGCAGGGTATCTTAAGAGAGAAGTATGAAGGACATGCATGCTTAACCTTGTAATACACTTTTCTTTTCTTTAGCTAATGCAGACATGAAGGTGGATCAGAGAATAATAGACATGGTTAGTGTGGAAGAGGGGATGACGAGACCCAAGAGTTCCTCTTTCTTGCATCGGTCTGGTTCATTTACGACAAAGGGTAGCAAGGACAAGGGAGGCACGCTGAAAAAGGTAGAGAATGATGACAAAGACAGGGAAAGTGGTAAAGAGGACAAGTTACTTCAACAATTTAATAAAAATGTAAGTAACATAATACCTGGTTTAAACCCAAAGTCCTGTCATTAGTACATGTAGATGGACTTTGACTTTCCAGGTGATTTTAGCCCAGGCCCAACTTGTTCAAACTGCTGGATAACATTTTTATATTATTCACTGGATAAATCACTAGTCAGCAGATGATTATTAGGGACTCAATAGAGATTTATCCAGTGGATAGTGTTATCCCCCTTTTGAGCAACTGGGCCCTGAATAGGATTGTTGCTGGCAGTGACTCTATCACATTTTGACAAGCCTGCCCCATGGCTGAAACTAAACCTCTGATTAAACCTTTCTGCAAGCCAGTGCTGAAATTCTTGTGTACCAGGATTTGAGTACCCACTGTGATTGGCTTGTTAAAAGAAGCCATTGTTGATTTGCCAATCAGGTTGCAGTGAAATTGGGTACATTACTGTTTAAAAAAGACAATGTTCCTATGCCATGCCAGGGTATTCCTTCAAACTTTATGGCTTTTTGTCAAAAACCTTAAATCCTTGCTTATTTTGTTCTTTTACTTGTGGTAAAATTAGACTCAGCGAGGTAAGAAAAGCATGGAAGCTCTATTTGGTAAAGAGTTTGGTGGCATGCAACCACAGCCATCAAGTCCAGTTCTACATGGTGGCATGTACACAGGAGGAAGTGGGTCTATGACGAGACCAAAGTCAGCGGGTCGGCTTCAAGGGTTATTCAACCAACCCAAATCAATGAAGGTATCCCATACATTAAATGTAAACTACATGCGTTGTTATATCAGTTAATTTCTTTCAAATCCAAAGTCCAAACCACAAGTCAGTCAGTATATGTCCCTCTATGACAATAGCATTTTTAACATATTTGTATTACTTGTGATCATTATTTTTAAGGGAACACTCAAAGATGCCTTAGATCGATACTCCTTGTATGGTTTGGAAGAAAATTCAAGCTATGATTGTAACTTCAAAAGTGAGATTGAAGACATAATTAAACTGGTAAGTATTTTGTTTTCTGTCAGAATCCTTTGAAAGCTAGTTACAGGAGATAACTTCAAAGCAATTTTTTTCATCCTTCTTCTTTTCTTCCATCAGATGGCCCTAAAAAGCCCCTTGGAAATTCTTTTTAGAAGAATAGATGCTGCAGAGAAGTTTTTCTTCAGGAAATAATAAATTGTATACTAAAATTGTTTTTTGAGCGCTGAAAATAATTTTTAGTTCTGGGTTCTGAAATTTCCATTTGTTTACCCTGGAAAACTCCTGGAATTTTATTTCTTTCTTTCTTAATGATATCAAACCCTGATAGCATTAATATCTTTGTTAAATGCAGTTTTATTAATTGAATTGTGTTATTGTGGTAAAGTTAGAGTTACAATTACTGGTATATGCCATAGGTACCCACGTAATAGCTGGTTACTCTCTTATGTCAGCCCGCCATAGTGATTGGTTCACTGGTCTGTGTGACTGTTAACCATCTCAATTTTTTTCCAGCAGACTCAATAATATTGTTAAACAGTGCAAAGCTAAATTAATGCATCTTTCTACCCCAATGCTCTCACTTAAGAGTTCATGTGCACACTAGAGAATTAAGAAATATGCCTGTCGCTGTTTTTCATTACTTACAGGAGACATCATGGACAGAAGTTGTCAATGAAGCTCATATTAAGGTGAAATGAAAAAATGAGGATTTTCAACAACTTGAAATATTTGGTTAGAAGCAGGAGTATGTGTGTGTTGAAATAATTTTTGGTAAGATTACTGGCACATGTACTATGACTTTTTCTTATTACTCCATATTTATTTTCTCTGTTCATCAGGCAATGAGTAAAAAACAGAAAGACCAGCAAGAAGCGATCTGGGAATTGTTGTCAACAGAGGCAGCGTACATTGCTAAACTGCATGTTATCAAAAAGGTATGGTTTAGTGTTTGTGGAGTGTGCCTTCCTTTCTATTTTATTTAAATATATTCTTGTGTTGCTCTTCTAGTCCTGTTGACACAGCTAAGAAAGGTGAATATAGTATTAATAGAAAGATAGAAGCTGCCAGTGTCTCTTCAAATAACAAGCACTTGAGACGAACCATATGATATCATGCTGATCACTAGCCTTCAAAACCTTTTCATGATGATACACAGTTTAAATCGAGGTTTCGCTGTACGCAACCCTTAAGTTCAAAATATACCATAATCATAGTTATCTATCGCAAGAACCATCCACCCTTTCTCCTCAACTGCTACCTGTACGCCTAGCGAACATATGAAACACCCTCTCCTAACCTCCGATTACTCCTAGTATTGTATCATAATTTGTTATTTCTGGAGGGAAATTTGTACGTACCAATTTTTTTTTGTTGACAGCTTTTTGTGCAGTGCCTCCGAAATTTGCAGGGTGAAGGATTTTTAACTGAGGTATGACCATTTTTCAATTTTTTTCATGACTTCTAATATGAAAAAGTGATGTTGGTGAGTGGTTTTTTTGCTTTCGCTAAGTGCCAACGAAAGAAAAAGAATTTACCTACATCACCGGTTTTAGTTCCAATGTTTATAAAACCATTTTAGCTGCTGAGCCGAGAATTTCCACTACAGGCACTCCTCGTTCCTACATTTCTGCCATGCTCTTGGCCTTAAAATCGCTCTTATTCTTCTGCTTAGACATTTTTGAACCTTAAACTTGTCGAGTTTCAAACAGCGAAAGGGAAATAACATTTATAGGTTAGCACGAACTTGAAATAGCGAGTTGTAGTTTGTACAAGTACAGTAGTGTGGCATAGAACATTGTCCGAACTTTGGCGGTTCGTTTGTTTACAACAAATATTATCAAAAGTCACATGAAACTACGTGTGAAATCTAACGCCACTAAAATCCCCAGGGAATCTACACCTTACATTACACTTTTCACAGCACAATCAAGAATTTTTCTGCCTGCTGCAATACTTCGCGTGGCAATAAGCTGGCCGCCTCGCATGCCGACAGTCTTCGCTCGGCTTGCTTGTTGGCAATAAACAAGTATCAGAAATCAACTGCCTGCATAACAATAATAATATTGTTATACAGACTGTTGATTTCTGATACTTAGAAGTGGGGTACTGCTCGTTGTAATTTTTACACTATGATCCACTTTTTTGTTCAGATTGAAGGTTCCAAGCTTTTTAGTAACGTGGAGGACATTTATACGGTTAATTTAGCATTTTGGATGGCTAATCTCAGCGGAATAGTGGAAAATGTAAGTAACCTCTACTTTTCATCCTTGCTAAATGTTGCAACAAAAAACTGATGAAAACATGACCTCATAGTATATGGTTCTTACAAATTAACCTGGGTAGCTGGCAGTATAGTTATGCACATGGTACTTTCTTGGTATCAAATCAGCAAGGGAAAACTTCCTCCCAATCTTCATGCCATTCCACCACCAAAAATCAACAGCTTTCTCCTTCTTATCCTGGCTGCTACACAGGTTATTGTGACTTACAAAGCATGTAGAGATGTACATTTCAGTGGCTGAAATATACACGTACTTCACGTATCCTTTAACTTGGTATACAAAAATAGGGAAGACGTGGTTTTGGTGTCATATTGATTTTCTTTTTGTGAAAAAAAAACAAACAAACAAACAAATAAGAAAAGAACAAGAGCCAAAAAAGTGTTTATTGATGTAAGTGAAGGTCACATGTAAAAGATAGGATTTTCTGCTTCCTTAGTAATAATAATAATAATAGTAATAATAATAATGTACTCCCTTTTTTTTTGCACAGGCGCGGCAAACCAAGGATCCCCTCAATCCATTAGACATGGAACAAGGATTTAACATGGTAAGCATTAATATTAGATGTATTGCTCTATTAGTGGGCTTTGCTCTTGCATTTTGTTCATATTGAGTAAGTAGTTAAGAAATAATCCAGCCACTTCAAAGTGCTACTAATTTTCCTGCACAGCAAACTAACACCATGGCCTGTTGAAGGTCAGCAGCACTGAAGTAGTCAACATGTTACAATACTTAACATAGTGAAATGAAACCATTTTACACTTAACCTCACATGATGAATATGATTTTTCATTGTACTGTCACAAACTATCTATATTGACTGACCCATTTGGAGCTGGATGTGTCACTCAAAACTTGCACACCCTAGCAATTTTGCCCTCCTTCCCCCCCCCCCCCCCCCCAAACACCTTTTTTTTCATTTTTGCCAAAATTTTAACCCTGCTTGGGGGGGGGGGGGAAAGCTTGTTCCCCCCCATTATTTGGGCCCTTTTTGGTTGCGGGCACAGTAAAGAGTCCCTTTTTTTTTAAACACAAAAACTTATTTTAAAACAAACCTTTTATACTCTACCCCCAAAATATAAATTTTTTTTTTTTTTTTTCTTGCAACAAACTTATAAATTGTGCGCCCCCTTTGGAGGTGGGGTGTTCCCCCAACCCCCCCCCACCCCACCAATTTTTCCCCCCCCCCCCCCCCCCCCCCCAAGACACATTTCTTTCAATTTTGCTCAAAATTTAACACTGCTTGGGGGGCGGGGGGGAAGACTTGTGACCTCCATTAGTTTGGACTGTCTTTGATGCAGGCCACATATAAGTGTCCTTTGTTATTAAGACAGAAAACTTAATTTTTTCATTGGATGTTGTTTGTAGTTTGAGTCGCACTTTGACCCTTACATCCAATACTGCATGGAGGAAGCCAACTGTTTGAAGTACTTCAAGGAAAAACTTATGGAAAGTGAAGAATTTAGAACCTACATCTCAGTAAGTAGTTATCATGGTATTTTTCATTTTCATTTCATTTTTTCTTAATCTTCTAAGCCCCATGGTTAGTGATGATTTTATGTTAATGTATGTCATACTATTTAAATTGGGGTCCGGGGAAATTTATTTGGCTATTTTAATTGTGCTTTTCCTTCCTAACAGATTTTTACTTTCTGCTGTTGGTCCCACATATACGTTAACTTTGTTACAATCTTATTTTTTAGTGGTGTGAAGATCACCCATATTGCACCGACCGGCTCAAGTTAAACGATTTCCTGGTGAAGCCCATGCAGAGAGTTACAAAATATCCTCTGCTTGTGAGAGCGATTTACAACAAAACTCTTGACATTGAGGTGAAGGAGCATCTAACTAAAATGGTGAGTTGACTAATCATACACTATGAAGATTGTTACATTGGGATTTTCAAAAATGTAGGAGTGGGTTAAAAAGAGGAGGAGCTAACCTTTTTTGGACTCTACAGTGTTTGGATTCTAGGTGTGATGTATACCCTAGAAATTCACATGTTTTATGGTAAAGCTCAGAAAAACTTAAAAAACAAATGTTTCTGGAATGCTGTTGTAATGTTGCAAGGAAAAAGTCAATCAGGCTAAATTGTAAATGTGGCTAAATGTAATTTAGACTTTAGTCAAACACAAACAAGTGCTGCCCAGCAATTTCCCTCCCCCCACTCCCCCAAGGATTGGTATGTGCAGGGTGGCCAGGGGCTGCATGCAAGGGCTGACGTGTTTACAGTTCTCCTTTAGATGTCAAGTCATTCTGCGTTTGTTTCTCGTTACTGAGCAGTTCTTATTGATTTTTCCGTTTCTCCCAAACTTATCTATTGTTGATAGGTTTAATAATTATTGGTTTTTGATTGTTCGGTTTGATTATGTGTACTGTCTCTTATTGTGATTGGTCACTCCACAACAAATATTCTTGAAGTATTTCAGGTGTTCATAGTTTTGTGCGCTAGTAACTCGTCACTCTTACTATTGACCAAAGAAAAAGAAAATTGCCTCAAAGGTGGCATTTCTTTTTGTCAAATCTTATAAAGAATCACAGAGGTTTCATTTGAATGGTAACACCATAGAATTTCGTCCATAGATTTAAAGTCAGAGTGACAAATTATCTCTCTGAATAGTGGTCTAGGATTGAAGGACTCAACTCCACTGCCAATGTATTTTGCCAACCATTTCCTTTGCTACCTCAACCTCAAGCCCCCCCCCCCGCC